AATGTATATTAATAAAATAATAAATAATAATTGTAGGTATCTATAATAACATCGTAATTATTACATACCTTTTATGTCAAATTGTATTAGAAAAATTTTTATTAATTATACACATACCTAGGTATAACATATATATTTTAAGGAAGCCTTATGAAAACAGTGATCCTATCATTTCGGTTCTAAACGAAAAAAGGTGTAATATAGTATGTCAACAATTAAATAGCATATAATATTTTATTTCTCAATATTTTTTTTTTTATTATTATCATTTATATATTTTTGCTGAATAGTAGAGTACTAAAAAACTTTCATAACATTATATAGGTCACACGGCAGCATGGTTAAAAATGTATGGAGTGATGAAATTTGGATAGTTCTTAAATTTTTTATCTATCAATAAGATAGTAACTAAATAGAAAAAAAATATATATAGATAATATTTTAGTGGTGAACATTCAAAATTGATATAGGTAGTGTTTGTTTAAATAGGTATATATATATRGGTATGTATGCATGATATTAAATACATTTGTATTTCTATAAATATTCTAATTTCAAAACATTGTCCATATGACATKATGTAAATATGATTATTTTAAGATTCGTCGTAATGGTTTTGTTTGTATCAATACAAATTTGATTTTAAATATATAGGTATATGTGTTAAATTACATGGATATTTTTTATTACTTTTATAGTTTGACATTCGTTTTTCTCGCATATAAAATATATTAAATATTTCCTAAATAACATGTATTATACAACGCTCATAAACTAAACTTTACCAAAACATAACATTAGTGGCTCTTATTTCAAGTCACTGGCTTAATAAAAAATATTAATTATATATACCTATATAAATAAGTAATTCAAATTGATGCTTAAATAATTAGAAATCTTAAGAAGCTAATATAATTACATAGGTACATCAAATTCTTTATTATCTTCAATATTTCCGTCGTGGATTTTCTATTTTATGTTTTTCAGTCACATCATTTATAAATGTAAATTTTTTCCAAATAATTATTCTAAACACTCGTCATCCATTATTAGAAGTGACTAAGTATGTCTTAGAGTCAATATTGAACTGATTAATTTTATTTTACGAGTACACTATATATAAAGTAATACGACGGTGACGAAATGAATTATTACAATAGGTATAGTTTTCGAATATTTTCATTTTAAGTCTTTCTCTAAAGAAAAAAAATGTTTGATTAATTATTGGAGAAAATGTAGTTTAAAATTCGTAGATTTTATCCTTGGACCATTATTTTTAATTTATCTGAGGTTGATTCAAAGCAATTACTTTGTAGGCCAAGTTCAAAAAACCTCAAAATATGTTTCAAGTATGCATGGCATGTATAAGAAACTCATGGCTATGTCATATTTTATAATACTCTCAATTGATAAATTGGAACTTAGTAAATATATTTTTAGATAGAGTTATTAACTATCGAATAATTAAAGCAAAATCAAAAACAATTTCTATTTTGTATTAGGTACTTTGTTGTCTTGTGGAACTTATAAATAAATATGATGAGTAAATATTTGTTTTCATAATTAATAAATATTATCAAATTGTGTGTGTAACCTGTTGGCTATTGGTTTTAGTATTACAAATTTTATTAGATTTAATCATGCATATGATACATATATACATAGATGGGCAGTCGTGACCAAATTTCATCATGTGTTTATGGTAAAATAGAAGTATTTTCTGATATCTTCWGACTCTATCTATGGGTAATCGTCTCAAATAATTTTGTATGCACAGACACTAATATAGTTGGATTACTTAAAATATATATATATATCTGTAGGCTAAATCATAGATATATAAAAAAATAAAAACATCGACGTACATATTATAATTTAAATTTTTAAAATAAAAATAAAAAATTATTTGCCTACGTCTATATAAAAACGTGTATGTGTCCCTAATTATTTCATGAAATATAATTATTTTTAAACAAGAGTTTTTTAGATTAAATTTACACAAATAAAATAGGACGAATTAATAGATATTAGATAAGTAATATACATTTTCGTGAAATCACGAACTCCGGGTTTTACTGTTTCTTATAAATCAAACGATTACCATTAGCTGTAATACTTATCCATTAGGTTTTTGTCAGAATTTCCATTTAATAGCGTGAAATCGCCTAATATATTGTTAATGATACAACTGTAATTTTGCACAGGCGTTTAGAAGAGTCGCGAGAAATCCTCTCATATTTGTTATGAGATCGAGAAACTATTCTGTAGCGATGAATTTTTTTCCTGAAAAACATACCAGAAATAATTTATAATGATCACAACAACGATACAATTTGAACGTCTTAAGACTTACACATTTTTCCGGAAATGGGATTCACATTGAATCCAAATTATTTTATTCTGTTATGTTTTATAACATATAAAACGTAAAAAAGCGGGTAAGTGGGTATCGCTTTGCTGTACATTGAGAGTGGGGTGGACCTCTGACTAGGGTAGGTTAAATTTGAATGCAATGATAGGTATCATTGTATACGAAAAACGATTCTGAACGGAGACGGTTTAT